TACATGATCTGCTTGTCAGTGTGGTTTTGTCTAATTAATATTTTTGTGTTGAGAAAGCAGATATCTCATTGGATTTACTTCGGGACTATCCAAGCTTGGCCGTCACCAAAGACAGCAACCACAGTACTCCGATTCTGACATTGTCTGATGGACCATCTGCATTCTTTAGTGGAAGTGGTCTTGGATTTTGGCAACGTTTAATTTATCATCGTAAGTATTAGCTCCAGTTTCTATTTTATTAATTTTCAATTTCATTGTTTGGCATTGTTAATTTATTTAATCTTTAATCCACTGTTATTGAAGGTCTAAAGATAAACAAACACAGTTTCTCTAATGATGTTCGACTTCCTGTTACTCACCAAGATCAGAATGAAAAGAAAAACATCAAAATGCGAGGTATTTACCTTCAATGCAACTTATCAAAGACACCCTTTTAGAAAAAGAGAAAAACTATTATAGTTGGATACTATTTTTTCTCTATGCAGCGTTTTTTGGACTTCATGCATTGGACTTGATGCTTCTAAAGTTCTCTGGTATGCTGCTTGCACTCAACTAAACCTCTATTTTCCTTGGCTCTAGTAAATTTTTAACTAATCTTTTTTTCACTTATGTTGCTGATTCTTGATATAGGAATCAAGCAAATTTATGATTTGAAGTTGATCCATACACGTTCGCTTGAGGTTCTAAAATGTATGTGTAAACACATAACAGCTTTGGATATCGAAGAATGTGCAGCAGGTCTAGTGTTTGATGCTTTATTTCAAGCTACCAAGAATGGCACGGCAGAGTTTGTGGTTGAAATGTTGAAAGCCAGACCAAATAGTTTTTATACAGAAGATAAAAATCGAAGAAGCATTCTCATGTGTGCAGTTGAATATCGTCAAGAAAAAATTTTCAGCATCTTTTGTAGCGTTCATGCATGGAAGTGCCGTTTGTATAGTACTACTGATAATCGGGGTAATAATTGCTTACATATAGCAGGGATGTTAGCCCCTGACTTTCAATTAGCTCGCATTTCTGGAGCAGCCCTACAAATGCAAAGAGAACTACAGTGGTTCAAGGTCACTCCTCTCACTCACTTCATATCTATATTTTACTTAAATCATATTATCAGCTCATGTTTAATTACTTAACATTAGTATGATGAAATGAATGTCATGCAGGAGGTTCAAAGTATTGTTCCAGAGTCATGTAAAAAAGCTAGAAATAAAGATGGTGAAACTCCTAGTGATGTATTTACTAAGAGCCACAAGGAATTGGCAAAACAAGGGGAGGAATGGATGAAAGCTACAGCCAGTTCTTCTAGTGTTGTTGGCTCTCTCATCATTACCATCATGTTTGCTGCAATTTTTACTGTTCCTGGTGGTAACAATCAGGAAACTGGGTTTCCCATTTTCTTTGGTAAAAAATCGTTTATGGTATTCTTGATATCAGATGCGATTTCCCTCTTCACTGCCTCCATCTCAGTTTTGATGTTTCTGGGAATCCTCACATCACGTTATGCCGAGGAAGATTTTTACAAGTCCTTACCCCAGAAGTTGATTTTGGGCCTTTCAACACTCTTCATCTCTATAGCAACAATGATGGTAACATTTTCTTCTGCTCTTATAATTATGTTACAAGGCCGTTGGTCAGTAATTCTTCCAATAATTATGCTAGCTGCTCTTCCTGTCACTCTTTTTATGTTTCTGCAATTCCCGCTCCTTGTTGAAATTTTTATTTCAACCTATAGACCAGGAATCCTTGTTAAGACAAAGAAGCTGTGACCTTAGCACAGTAAATGTGTCCATCTTTCTCATCATCATGTAATCTTCGAACTTATATTAGTAATATATGCTCCTAATCACGGTACTCTGTTTTTCAGAATTCATTTCTCCATAAATTCAAACTTTCAGATCACATTCCCAAGTACAGATCACAGCTATCTATAAATCAAAGCAAATAGCATATGCTTTTGTGATTC